CACTAAGCTGACCAGCCCTGCTGTAGCAGGGCTGGAGGGAACAGGGAGCCAGGTTGCAGAGTTCCCTGTTTCTACAGGGGAGCCAGGCAAGAAGATGCAGCCAACAGGAGATGAGTAACAGGTGCCCAGCACCCATGATCTCTGGATGGAGTGAGCTGGTGCAGGCTGCCCCAGCTCCCCTGACATGGTAACAGCAAAGGCTGAGCCCAACCTGAACTTGCACAAGGTGAGGGACAAACTCATGCAATGCTCAGAGATCATAATCGTCCAGCACAGCAAGTCCCCAGGGCAGGGAGAGCATCTCCACAGAGCAGATGTGGTGAGCTCAGCCATAGGGATAGCATTCCTTGCCCTATGCAGGGACAGCTTGGACACAGCTCTGTCCCCCTTGGCACAGTCTCATCCCAGCTTACCTCTGAGATCTTCTGGAACTGGTAGTTGCTCTGGCTGCACTTCTCTGCCGTCTCCAGTGCGATTTTGTAGTTATCCACAAAGGCTTTGTAGACCCCCAGCTGGCTGGCCTGCAGGGAGTGGGGGCTAGCTGGGTGCCCAGCAGGATGCTGAAGGCCCCCACAGCACAAGGGACTGCCAGTCCCTGAGGGGACACTGCCCAGAGCTGTCCCCTCCCAGCAGGACACTGCCAGACCACAGCCAGGTGGGTACCCACACATTTGGCTCTTCAAGGAAAGCCCTTGCCCAGGCCAGAATAGTGGAGCTCCTGTCCAGTCCTGTGCTCCCACAAAGCTCCGAAATCCAGCAGAGAGACAACAAGTGCCTGGACAGCAAAAGCTGAAGCTACCACCACTTCCTGGTACCTTTCAACCTGTCCTCTCCTCCTCTCCCCAACATGGGGGAGGAGAGCCCCTGCTCCCATTGCACATCCAAAGCAGCAGCAGGACCCTGCCCTCCTCCTCTTCCAAGTGGAGCAAGACCCAGGGAAGGCACATACCAGCTTCTGGAAGAGGTGGCCCATGGTAACGTTGCTGTCCCACTGCTGCACTTTTGGGCACAGGTTGTCATAGAATTCCTTGTGGATCTCATAGATATCCTGGATCTTGTAGAAAATCGTCTCTATCTGCTGGAGGGTGAGGACAGGCTGCGACGTGGTGGCTGTGGCCTTCAATGGCTTCATGGGCTGCCAAAGGAGAAGGGACAGCGTTAGAGTCAAGGTCTGGAAGGGGAATGCTGAAGACAACGAGCATCTGAGGCAACAGCAAGGGCTGCCCAGGACAGGCCTGGTTGGCAGCTGGACCAAGGGGCACTCCAAGCCTGTGCATCCCCACAGACTTCCCCGTGGTGGCAGTGACCCCTGCGTTGTGCAACAGTGTCTCGGCCATGAAGGTCAGCAAGTCCACAAGAGGAAGCAGGACTAAAAATACCTCCCAGACAAGGACACAGTCAGTGGGGGAGGTGACACAGGGGCTGCTAGGCCAGAGCAAGGCTGGCTCCAGCGTGGCTCCTGGACCTTTTATCCTACTCAGGTAGCACCCAGGCCAGACTTGCCTGGGGGAAGCTGTCCAAGAAGAAATTACTCACTCACTCCCTCCATCCATCCATCCTCCCATCCACTCATCCCTGCTGGGGGCTGTCCCTGGAGGGGGTGTCTGGTGTGGGGGCTGTGCTCACCAACAAGAGGGCCTCCAGCTGGTTGATGTAGATCTCCTCACTGGCCAGGAAACCGGAGAGCACCAGCTTCCGCATCTCCAGGCCTTTGCCAGCATCTCGCTCACCCTGGGGAACACAACAAGGAGCCCGACTGAGCCAGCAAGTGGCACAGGAGGAGACTCCTCATCCCACCAGCCCATCCCCAGCATCCCCATGTGGACATGTGTTCCTGCCAGCATCGGGAAAGCCCCGTGGCAAGACCCAGGCATGTGCCCAGTGGGCAGCAGAGCCCGGCTGGAGCCAGCCAGGAAGCCACGAGCTGCACTGGCTCCTCTCCCCTCCTGCTCCTGGCTGGCCAGGAGCCCGGCGTCGCTGGCAGTGCTCCAGGGTGGCTCACAGCATGGCAGGACTCTCCTAGGGCAGAGTCCAGAGACGCCCAGTGAAATCATGCTTGGCGGTGGATGGTGCTGCCACGTGATCCAGCACCACCCTTTCCCTTGGCTGAGGTTTTCCCGGTAAAGTGCCACCCCAGCAGACGCTGCCTGGTGGCACTGGGGCAGGTCCCAGCGCCCAGGTCTGCCGCAGCACCGATGCTCTGGTGGCAACGACCCTCACAGCAGGGGGATAGCTGGGCTGGAGGACTCTGGGGCTCTCAGCAAGGCTCTGCCAGTGACCAGGCATGGGCACCCTGGCCACTGGACCACACTGCCATGCCTTAGGCTCCCCCCTTTAAAATCACCCTTGGGGACCAGGCTTTGCCACACGGACAGGGCCCAAGCAGAGACATGGGGACATCGGTTGCTCTGGGCCAAGAGCCACTCAGAATGGTTTGGTGACAACGTTGGTCCTGCTTCACACCAGCCATTGAGCCAGGGGGTGGTGACAGCTGCAAACACCCATGGGGGACAGCCCTAGGGTAGGCATGGCTGTGGATCAGAATCTCCCTGTCCCACTCTAGTGTCCATCAGCTGGCCCAGGGGGCTGCTGTGTTAACAGGGTGCCCACTCCGGTCGCAGGGTGCACCATTAATGCTGAGCCACAGTGACCAGTGCAGCAGGGGGTGCGCAGGGAGGACAGTTTTATTCACTGGGCTCTTTGCCACCAATTAAGTCACGGGCTCTTCCTGCTTCCCCTAGCCTGGGCCCTGCGCAGGAGCTCAGGAGATAAGGGACCCACCCACACCCAGGGACTGCAGCACCCCATGGGGACAATGACAACTGAGCCACCACGACCCAGAGGAGCAACCCTTAATGAGGGCCCCATGGCTGTCCCATGCAGGAGACCCCAGGGAGAGTGGGGCCAGAGCAGTCCTCCAGCCCCCAGGCAGCCCTGGCAGGGTGGGCATGAGAAGGG